ACGACAGTTGCTATTTTGAATTATTTTCATCATTAATAAAAAAACCGAAAAACTACTTTGCCATTTAAAGCAATGAGTTTAACTTTTGAAAAATTCACACAACAAGGGCATATTAATTATCTCATCCTGTCGTTGCAAGTGTCGGAAATTTTGAGTTTGTTAATTCAAGATGTTGGATTATCTTTGCAAAAGAAAATGCATCGATTAACAAAATTATATGAAATTAAAGCATATCATCTACACCAAACAAGCTGGACGGTTTACCCGCAATAAATCCTTTAAAAAAATTTTTTACAAGAAATGGAAAAATCATATTTGATTCAAGCATGTCGTCATAGATATGCATATCTTGGTGTGAAAAGCATAGGTATTTGGAGACGTTGCATCTTGCTGTAAAATTTTAAGAAAATATTATTCAATCAAGCCTTATTCATTGCTTCATCAAGTAGTGCTCATTTTCAAATTTATTGTTTTCTAAGTAAATCAACACTGAAAAACCAACAAAACAAGACTAAATACAAGCATGTTGGCTACAACCAGGTCTAAAACTAGAACGTTGATTGGAGGGGGGGGGGGGTTGAATATTTATATATGTGCCAATATTCATGTTTTGTGACCTAATGTGCTCAGCAGTAGGGCGTGACGGATAAAGAAGTTATGTAAATAGGAATGGCTAAGAAGGTATGGCATTTTCATTATTGCCTAAAAGCAGGTCTTTTGAATTTATATAAGTTTGGGGAAGCTTTATCTAAGGTTCCGTTTTTGACACATTTACTCGGGTAAACCTATTACTAAACATAACTCTCAATTATTTTTGATATTTAAGTGACCATTCCCTGCATACCAGTTCTTATTGAATTGACATCTTTAAGTATGAACCAAGATATACTTGCATTTTTTCAGATTGGCCAAATTTGGTACCACATTAATATTAGTTGAATATGTTAAACTATATTTGGCGATAAGAGAATTATTTGTCTTCAGGCTATTAACACTTCATCTTGGGCCATTGATTGAGTCACTCTTAGTTGCACAAAAAGTTCAGAATTCGCTTTTAGTGCTCAACAATCTGCTACATGGTCAAATGAGTTCTCTAGTTCTAGCAATTTTTTGGCAGGAAAACAATAACTAAAGAATGCACCCATTTTACTACAAAATAGTACATTTATTTAAAGTACCTAATGTATTGATAATTATAGAAGCTACTCACAGCTTAAATTACCTCTCTCACGTTGACAGACGAAGTTATAATAATGCCAACATCCAACGTCATTCCACTTGGATATATAAATTAAGTCCTGAAATACAACGCAATCCTGTAAACCACCAGAATTATTAGGTTCTCCCGGATGCCATGATGTGAAATTAGGCTTGCCATTTTGAACTGTGTAAAATTGATTGTCGCTTTTATTGCGATACAAACCAATAAAATGATATTGATTGCGTTTTCTCAAGATGATTCTGGAAATGACATTATTCTCAGCATTATTTTTTGGAACAGCAAGATCTCCTCCCATCTGTTGACAAATTTTTCTTGCTTTATTCCATGTTGCTACTTTTGCACTGAAGAAATAACAAGATGATTCTATTTGCAACCAATCAGAAGGACAGCTCGCTAGACCTAAAAAAAACAAATAAGACAACAATAACAAGTAATTGTTTTCAGAATGATTTGTACGAATAGAATAAAATATTTAATATGCACTTTTTAACTGTTAAAGCTGATTAAAAATGCTTAAACAGGCAGGATTGTGTTTTGCAGACAGACGTTGTTTAAAACAAGTCTTTCAATACCTAAAGGGTTTTTAAGGAATAAGGAGGGTCTTTCAGCGGGTTTTGTATAGTAGCCACAAGTTGCAGAGAAAAGTATAATAGAATACAATTCTTAAAAAAATTGTATAGAAATTGTAAAAGAAATAAAAGAAATTGATTGTGAAGCTTATGTAGTCCGGCTAACACTTAAAATTTTAATCATAAGGGGAAACCTTTGTGTTTAAATGGATGGTTATTATAATCGTACACCAAAAATGTGCATGAACTTGAGTTAAGCTGTCAAATATAGCTCATTTTTATGCCCATTTCAAATAACATTCCTAATTTTCCAGATTAAAGTCAAATTCATTGTAATGTGTGCTTACATGAAATTATTATGTCTGAATAAACAATTCCAGTCTAACTCTAATAGCATTAACTTGAATAGTTAGAAAGTCATTTAAAATTTTATTAAACCCAGTAGAAATTTAATGCCATCTACTGAAAAACGTTGTTACACATTGTTTACATACATTTTTTTTAACTTATTTATTGTACCTCTTAAAAATCTTGCTTATTTAAGTTTTTAAAGGAAGTAAATTCTTAACAGTAAAACCTAATTTTCTTACATCGAAAATTAACAAGATATGTATGAATGCATATTATCAGTGAATACCATGCATACTAAGCGGCGGATGACTAATTGCGCGGCCTGTAAGCTTCAAAAAATTTGTGGGATTTTAAGTAATATAACTTTTGAGGACGTTTTCATTTCTTATGCTCCATTGCCTTTGCTTCAGTTTTGTTACTCATAGTGTAAACACTATGGAATAAATTTAAATTTTGAACAAGATAAACTTACTACTTTATGAGTTCGATACATAGAGCATTATAATAGTATATCGTACAGTTTCCAACAGGATATATTATTGAAAATTTGATCATTTATCTCATCTAGAATGGCAAAGAGTAAAAACTATGTTTAAAGAGAACAGGACTTTTAAAAACGCGGGAATGTAAGCTTCAGCCTACATAGCATACTGAGTAATCGGAGAACGGCCATATTTGTCGGTTCTTGGAATAAGTTCATAAAGCTAAATCCATTGGTTGAAGACATTTGATGTAATATTATTGAGGTGCACTCATTCTAGGAGGTCTGGAAGCATGTCTGTCAAAATGATTTTTAAAGTTTGGGTTTACAGAATTCTTAGTTTACGAAAGCCAAGCAATAATAAACTCAAGACCGTCAAATATGGGGTATCTAGGCTAGAAGGGCCATAGCTAGATTACTAACCTCCGGAGGAGTGTTAAACCTAACCTTAACCCTTACCCTAACCCTAACCCTACACCCTCCTTAATGTAGAGAAAATCAAAATGTGTTAATTGTGAAAATCAAAGCGTTGCAGCTAGCGAATTTCACCTTGAGAAAGCGTCATTTCCAGCGCACCTCACAGTTTGAGAAGGAGTATACACAAATCTAAGCGCCCCAGCCCTAGCTCACTTACGTACTTCTTGTAAATATGCTAGCATAATTACAGCGAAGATCAAACCCAGGACAACGGCAGGAGCCAAAGACGGCTGGCCCACCCCCCTTATTTAGAAGCAGCGTATAGAAGGGTACGTGGTAAGATGAATAGTGAATCCAAAAGAGTACGTATGAAAAGACAAGAACAAAAAAAAGAAGAGAAAGAGAGAAAAAATTGAATAATATAATAATAAGACAAAGAGAAGAACATCTTAAATTACAAACCAGGCTGCCAATACAAACAGGTACGATACAATTAGAAGAAGAATATTTTTATATTATATTGAATCGAGATGGACACTTTTAGAGAGATTCTGCAACTATATAAACAGGGTGTTGTAAGTGGAAGAGCTCTAAACTCATTCCTTGAAGCTTTTTAACAACTAGCATCTACATCAAGAAAGCGTACGAATACAGCTCCACCTGAACCTCCTTGGTACTCTGTAAGCGCAGACCTATTAAGCCTAATGACGTAATAGAAAGTAAACCCGCCTGTTATAACAAATTCTGTAGGTAAGAAAGCTACGTATGGAAATATGAGCGACCCAGCGTTAATACGCTATTACGCACTTCAGTTTCTAAGTGGAATTCCTCCAAAAACTAAAACTCAGACGCCTCCGGCGGCCGGTTCACTCCCTTTGCCAAATGTGAAGTGTTCTTATTCAGTTCTAGATAATGAAGGAAAGCCTTCGGAATCATCTAGCGCTTTGTGTAGCAAATCTTCATTAAACAACCGTTGAATATTCGGGTATTATACTTTCTATAGTGAGTGTGATAATTACTCCAGCAGTTCCCATCTGTTAAACAACTAATGTTGCATCAGTAGGTAAGTCTACATCTATAAAATTGCTATAGCTAAATTCAGAGTTGATATCACCAACACGATGTGTTTTTGTTTCACTTAAGACAAGTATTTTGCCAGGAGTTTAAAGTACTCGTAGCGCTCCTGCACTTGTAAAACATTTTCCACTTAATGATATTCGGTAGAATGCAGCGGTTTCGATGGTGATTGTAGAAGAATCTTCTTCACCTTTTTCACACATCGCGACATTGGTCCAATCTGAACCTCTTTTTCCAGTGACTGAAGTGCCAACTTGAGTGTACACACCTACTGCAATTTCTAGTCGCTTTTTGTGTTTTTCACGTCTTCTATGATGTTTTACACGACGGGCGTGGTAGTTTTTACCGGACTAAGCAAAGCTTTGAAAGCCTCACGCGTAGGTTTATCTACGTCTGAATAGTTCCAAGAAGATATGACTATATTTTCAGACAGAATTATCTTCTAGTTGGAATTTTTCAAAATTTTTCTCTCTATTTTGTCGTAAGTATACTTCTACTGCTCGGCGAAAGAGATCGTTTGTTGATTCAAATTCATGAACCGAAGTTTCAGCTGCGTTTCAGTTTCGAATGCTATTTTATTGTTTTTCCAGTAGGAGACGTTACTAAAGTTACATTTACTTCGCTCATACCGGGGGGGGGTAAAATCCATTAGGAGAGTTCAAAACAGGTTAATCTCCTTGGTCTCCTTTAAGCCAATCAGCTCCTGCCTGTCCTTGAGGTTCTTGACGTTCTGATGGCCCCTGAGGCCCTGTGGCTCCAGTATCTCCTTTAGGCCTTGAGCCCCTCGAGGTCACGCGGGCCCTGCAGACCCCGGCACTCCTCTTGGAACTGTTAGACCTCTAATGCCTTGTTGCCCTTGAGGTCCCTGAGGTCCTTGACGTCCTTAAGGCCCTTGAGCTCCTGTGGCCTCAGGCGCACCATCACTTCCATTGGTCCCATCAGTTCTGTCATCTCCTCTAGGACCCTCATCACCTTTCCCTCCTTTTGGTCCTCGAAGACCCGTATCTCCTTGAGCCCATGTAGCTCCTGTATCACCTTTTTTTTCCTTTGGTCCTCTAGGATCCGTATCTCCTAGAGACCCCTCAGCTCCTGTGTCACCTTTATCTCCCTTAACTCCTCTTGGGCCTCTAGGTCCTGGTGGTCCTACTTTTTCAGATCCATAACCATCATCAGTTCCACCGATTACTAATGTTGCCATTAGTTTGATGCGACGGTTAGTTTGATGCGATGTTTATTTTGATGCGAGGTTTATATACTTACTTTATATAATAGAAAATTTTTTTTATTAATTACTGGATTTATATTTGACCGCGAGACAAATCTATGACGAGCCTCCAGCCAGACCCGCGATTTATTTGAAAGCTTGAGCTTTACCTTCACGACGTGCGCTTTCAGCAGCGGCGGCAACAGCTTCTTCTTTTTCACGCTCTAAGTTCTTATTTGTCTTTTTAATCTCCTTGAGTAGAGAAGCTACATCGGAAGCCTATTTCGAATTCATCTTGAATAACGCGTTTACGCTTGTTAAAACGCCGCATTTGATCTAGAACCTGTTCAAACTCTTCATGTGAGACTCGGCTGTCACTGTGAGCACGTGACGTAATATTACCAACAATCATAAGACTCGTCGCAGCAGCTTGGGCTATGCGATTTTGCTGTTTAGCCTTTCTATCAAACTTTTACAAAGAACACGCCCAACACCTAAGATCAACCCGCCAGCGACTGCAAAAGCTTCAAGAGCGGCCCCAGCCGGAGCGCCCACACCAGATAGAGTGTGAGCAATACCTCCAGTTCCTGTCACGACTGTTAAGGCACTCGATGCAGCAGATAAGGTGTCGAGTGTCCAAGTAATGCGCGTGTATTTCTTACGCAGCTTATGACGAGCGTCACGCTCTTGGCGGAGCTCTGCCTCAATGTTTAAAATGCGAACAAGGCGAAAGTTGCTCGTTTCGATTGATGAAGGGGGTGATAGAACGTTTTCTACTCCTTGGTATTCATATTCACGTTTTAAACCAGGATATATCCGTGGTACTGGCCTAGTAACGTCCACTGGCTCGAATGGAGGTGCGCTTGCAGTTTCCATTTTCTGGCAGGATTATATATACATGCAGAAAAAATTGGTCTGTTAGTCTGATGTGTTATAATTAGTCTGATGTGATATGATATAATATGGCACTCATAAATTTCGACACACCCACCGCTAAAAAATCAAAGCGCCACCATTGGATGATGCCCGAAAGCCATTATCTGTTTGTAGGGCCTACTAATTCCAGTAAAACGAACCTTTTAATTAACATCATTATGTGTTGGCTTGATTGCACTAAATCAACTATTTACACAAGAAGTCGCGACCAGGAAAAATATCTGATTCTATCAGAGTTCTACGAAAGCATCGGCCTGGAAGAATGTGTTGAATTAAGAGACCCTGTTGATGTAATTCCAGTAGAGGAATTGGACACTTATACAGAGACAGTAGTCTTTAACGATATTCTGCTCGATTCAAAAAGCTTAAACCCAATCAAAGAGTATTTCTCAGCAAGTTGACATAAGAATGTCACAGCCATATAATTAGCGCAAAACTATATGACGTCCCCAAGTACATTCATCGAAATACCGGCTGTATTGTGCTTATGAGAGTTCTTTACCAGCGCGACGTGAGAGAAATTGCAGCTGACCACGCTGATGGTATTACAAAAGAGCAGCTAGCGGCGGCTTACCATGAAGCCACTAAAAAGAAGTACGGCTACTTTGTAATCGATCGTACTGCAGAGGAGGTTCCTATTCACTATCGGAAGCGTTTTGACGGAATTCTGGTAGCCCCGAAGTGGTAATCACTTTTTTGAAGACATCATTAGACTTATTCTTGTTGGCTCTTTTATATTTTGGAAGATGAAGATAGCTTCAACGGTTTCATCAGGCCAACCCGAGGCGTCGTATTTTTGAGAAATCGGAACGAAATTTGCTATGAAGGAGAGGTAATTTAAAGACTTTCCAGTAAACCAAGACATATCAGCCGCCATACGGCTAACATGGTTGCATTGAATTTCGTTGAAAGGAATGTTGTGTTTTGAGCAGATTTTATACGTATACGTTCTTACCTTATTAAAATGAGAGTAAATGACTTCTCGCAAGGATCTATAGACGATTTTTCTGTATAACGTGACTCTTCATCCGATTCCACTGTATCACTTGAAACAGGCACGGGCAGGGTAAAATGCTGTTTATTATCTTGAGATTGTGAATCAATAGATGCTAGAACAGACTGCAAAAAGTCACTCAAGCGGTTAAGGATACTCAACAGCAACTTGCCCAACGGCTTGATGATCTAGTCATTTTAACAAAAGACAAACCATCTTGGAAGGCTATAGAGAATTCAAATTCGCTTGATCGGTTGGAGGCTGGTGAGTATATAAACGACATAGATTTTGAAAATCTTGGAAAATCTATTGGCCCGTCTACAAGAAGAACTGCTTCTTCAGCTGACCGAGAGCTATGTAAAAAAACCTCGAACGTTACAATGTTTTAAAAGAAAAAAGAAGAAGTCGCCCCAAACGACTCTTTAAAACAACACGAACAGGAACTGGAGTGCACTATTATAATAGCCCATCAGAGCTTATTGACCGCCTTCACCTTTCCTGCAAGTCTGTAGAGGCTGGTAATGACTCTCGTGAGTTGAAAAACGATATTGAAGCGATTTTAACAAAACTGCTAGACGAAAGTGCGATATCGAAAAGTTATTACCGAAAAATTAGAAATTAATACGTGCGTTAAAAATTTTCTTCTTATATATATTATACAGAGCTATTGTTCATTGTTGATATAACCATAATGACTGGAGTATTAGAAGACGAAATTAGCATTGAGATAGACTCAACAAGAGCCATTGCGGCGCACGATGGAGAAGCGAATGACTTTCAAATTGGCTTTAGGCCACCTATACCTTTAGAGGTTAACAAAAAAGTGGCTCTTACTGAAGCTAGTTTGTGCAATTCGTGAAAAAATGTCATTACAAAAAACAATCAACTTGAGTTTGAGATAATAAAAGGAAACTATGGTGATACTGATGGTGCACAGAGAGGAGAGCTTAAACAGACTCCAATTCAACGGCAAAAAATCACAATACCTCCAGGCGCTTACAACATTCCCGATATCAATCAAGCTATTGAAAATGCTTTGAAAGCATTGGGCATAAAGTTCGCACATGAAGATGAAACCGCAAGACGTGATCCACCCTTTGTGCTCTCAGTAAATATTCCCACATCTAAATCTGAGATTACTATTAAAGGTGACCTTGTAGTTTCCTTTGACACAAATAACAGCATGGGCCCTATTCTTGGGTTTGCTGTTGGTGGAGATGATATTACTAGAGGAAAGACTTTAAGTCAGAATCGAATTAACATTACAGATGTACAGAAGATCCATATTCACTGCTCCCTTGTTAATTCAAGTATAGTAAAGGGGAAACCTAGTGATGTTATTAAATCGTTTACTCCAAACCGAGGACCAGGACGTTTGTTGGAAATAAGTCCTAGTCCACCGACCTACTTACCACTCATAAAAACTAGCCTTATTATTAAAGTGAGAATGGAAATCACTGATCAGTCAGGAAATATGATTGATTTAAATGGGGAGCAAGTAACTTACACTTTAAACATCCGTCCAAAAATGTAATCATACACGCTCATAAGCGGATTCCGATTCAGAAGCTGTTGCCATAAGGGCTTATTTTCTATATATAATATACTAGGCAAAATGATATTTCCTATGATTAGACGTGGTATAGTTCGTCGAAAAATTATCGGGGGGCTATTGATGGGAAACCTCGTGGGCCTTGCTGGTAAGGCAAAGTTTGCGCTATTCAGTGCAGGGAAGTCCGCAGCTACAGCCTTAGGATCTCGCGTTTGTAAGTTTGCTCCAAAAATTAAGAATGTGGCCGTGGCGGCTGGAAAAAAGCAATTCGTGACACGGCTACAGCAGCCAAAGAGGCTGTTATATCGACTGCAAAAGAGCAGTTCTCGCCTGAAAACGTAAGCAGTCTTGTTGCCGATCTCGCCCGCGGAGACGTTAAAGGAGTGGCAAGAAAAGCTAAATCACGTGCATCTGCATTGGCTCGTGCTGGGGCTGAAGCTGGTATTAGTACTGCAAAAACGTGCGCAAAAAGTGCTCGCACTGCTTTTTAACGAAAGAAGCTAGATCTAAACTTAAAGAGCTGGTTGGAACTTCTGAAGCTAGAAAAGCTCTAGTATCGCGCGCTAAAAGCCTTGCTAAGCAGCAGCTGACTTCTCGAGACTTATGTATTCTAAGCAACCTCGTGTCAGGTAACGGCATAATGTATGCCTAAATATCACATCAGACTAAATATCAGAAAGAATAATTAAACTACTTCGGTCTGATGATCGGCAAACGCAAAGTTTTTATAATATATATACTGTACGAACAACAAACTATCATAACAGTGGCTACGGACATGATATTCCCAGCACTTCGACTCTTTGACGAGCCCATCGTTGACCGCTCTGTTGAGCGTCTGCAGTACAAAAGAGTTCTTCCCCGCGATCCAAATTTCGATAATAAGAATATCAATATTGACACTGGGAACGTTGACCAGCTTATATGGCTTCACAGAGCCGTTCTTGAAGTTCGAGATCGCATGGTAAAGAACGAGGGCACGAATTATGATGCCGCCGACAATGTCGCTCTGGCAAATGGTGGCTGGAGCCTGTTTGAGACGGTCCAGATCCAGGTTAATAACAAGACCGTTGAAGAAATAAGTCAGTATGCTTCAACTGTCAACATGATCATGCGGCTTGTAACTTATTCGGATGATTCGTCCAGGAGCACCGCCACGAGTGCTTTCTGGTACCGCGACAGCAGAGCTACCAGTGGGGCAGTTTCTAATAAGCATGTAAACAGAACTAACGCTCAGTTGCTTCCTGCTGCTATTATAGGTAACGGTGTCGCTTTGAATGGCGGCAACTTCCGGGCTAACTTTAACTTAAACTTTAACGCAACAGAGAACCCTAACTTCAACATTGGTTTCGCCAGTGGCCGCCAGCTCTGCGCGGGCGCCAAAGACGTTACCATGATGCTTCTCCTCGCTGACATCCTAGGCTTTGCCAAAGATATTGATTCAGCTTTCATAGGTATAAAGTTCAATCTGAATCTCCCTCGTGCTTCTGCTGAATACTCACTTCATAGAGCAAATGAGGTAGATGCTGGAAAATTTCAGATAAAATATCTTTCGCTCTGGGTTCGTTTCATCAGACTTCGATCGAAGTTCAAACCATAATAGAAAGCAAGTTGGTTGCTGGTTACACACGCATGCTATACTTTGAGCAAGGTCGTATTTACCGAGAGAGATACACCAGAGGTCAAACCACCGTCTCATGGCGTGTGACGACAAACGGAAGTGAAGAGCTACCAACACACATCTTCGTAGCGTTCCAAGATGCAGAGTGCTCAGACAATCAAGTACAAACTATACATGTCTTTGATAATGCTCATTTGCTTCAGATTTATGAGCGGATGAATAACAATCACAAGTATCCTGAAGAAGAGCTTGAAGTCAATTAAACAGCTGCTGAAAGAAATTACAGCAGAGGTTACATGATGCTCCAAGACGCTGTGATGAAATACAGCCACCCGGATACAGGCTCTCAAGTAAACTTAGGAGACTTCGCAAACCTCTTTCCTATTTACAACTTTCACGTTAGTCTTCATCCTGAAACTTTGAAAAAAGCTCCGGTAAACATTGACGTTCGTTGGATCTTAGGTGGCCCTTTTAATAGTGCTATTAATGCTGGTGGTGAACAGGCGTACCACGTGTACTGCTTCGTGCTTAGCGAGCGTTTCCTTCGGCTCAATGCGATTAACGGTAAAGTAGACATAATGGTTTAGTCTGTTTGTCTGATGTGATGATTAGTCTGATGTGATATGTTACGTTTAATCCGATTACTTCGAAGCAGAATTAATTAGAAAATTTAAAAAAAATAAAAGTTTTTCGACTGTTTATATACGCAAATTGTTTTGCAAATGCACAAAAATGTCGGACATTGACAACGCAATATTCGTTAAAGCTCTCAG